AAAACAAGAAAAACACAAATACACTTTAGGTGGTGAACATAACAAATCATATATTAGATGGTGAACATAACAAATCGATTCACATTCAAGCTGACCGAATAACACAAATACACTTTAGGTAGCTACTTGCAATAGTAAGCTTTTAAAGTTCAAAAATGCAATAGGGTTGCTGCTTTTGTCTCCAAAGGAAATGAAAGGAGGTTATGTCATTAGAACATGAATACAATTCAACTACTGGATATTTTGAATTTTGAGCATTTCAAACCTACCTCAAATGGAGCGAGGCCGCTAGTCTGTCCATCAAGATTCAAGGCCGATATACCCATGACCAATCTGAATAAAGGTTCTGCGGTACAATAGGCAGCCAACAATACCAACATGTAGTTGTAACAATTTGACCTCAAACGGAACCTCTGGACTGTAAAATCTTTCTTGGTCAGCCATATTCGATATAAGCACAGGCCCATAAGAACCAAATTGGAGATGGAAACAACCAAAGTGTCTGTTGCGCATGGTGTGTAAGCTCCAAACGCATTTTCCACTACCTTTGCCCACACCCCATTCGCCACTGGCTGACAATACCAAACCAGTGGCTCAAAACCCATCTTTAAGCACTTAAGGTCTGTCTATGGTTCTATCCACTTCCACTACAAAAACATTACAGACTGTTATGCTCTCCTTTAACTCATAAGGAGTTGTAGTTCACAACTGAGAATCTGAGATCAGTCAGAAAAAGTCAATACTTTGGGAAAATGAATGAAATAAAGACAAACTTTCTTGCTCGCTTTTAATTGAAGAAATTTGATTGGGATCAAAAGGCGGGGAAATAAACCGTGACGCAGAATAGAAGGGAATCTGCATTTGATGACCGGAAACACTGTATCACATCCATCTTACAATTTGAAAAAATGATACTCCCTTCGTCCCATAATATTAGTCTCTTGTTTCATTTTTCATTATCCTAAAATATTAGTTTCTCTTTAAAAATTAAGTACAAAAATAATATAAATTTCCTATTTTGCCCTTCCTTTAAATTTATAAATAATATAAAAAGTATAATTATGATATTGATATTTTCTAAAAAATGTACAATCAAAGGGTAATTTTGGAAAATCAACTTTTTAAAAGTACAATAATTGTATTACCAAAAAAAGTTGAATCCCCCAAAAGGAACCATTATTTTGGAACGGAGGAGGGAGTATAATTATATATTTTTTTGAATTATAACTAAAAAATGTCACATTTAAACATAAAAATAATATAACTTCATACTTTTTAAATAATAATTCAAAAAAATATACATAATTAAACACAATATAAAACATTTTAAAAAATCTTATTAATCATAACTAAAATAATAATATAATTAAAAATAATAATATAAAATCAGTATTGTTATTAACACTCCATAAATTATTTTGGATTCCCAATTTTTAGTTTTTTTTTATTACAATAATAACCTCAAATAAAGTTACTACTAAGGATATCAATCATTTTGAGACACCCCATCTCACAATTAAACTTGCATACCCACTACATCATGAATTATGGTTTATGAGAGCCCACACCTTCATTACCACCCATCTATCTTCTCCAAATCCTACATTCAAAATCTACACATTCTCAAAACTTTACAAACCCTTTGGCAGCAATATTCTGACAGTAACGGTAACAACCATGTAATTACCTACATTGAACCGTTAAAACATGGAAATTTTTAACACATACTTCTTCAAGTGGGTAAATTTTTAACCATTTGATTACCTAATTAAAGAAGAAGAAGAAGAAGAATAAGAATGGGTAAATTTTTTCTATTTGATTACCTAATCAAAGGTTTTGAGAGTGGGTAAATTTTTAACATATTTGAAGAAGAATGAGGGTGGGTAAATTTTTCAAACCGACAAAGACAATATTCTTCTTCTTTTTCTTCTTATTTGTGAGTTTTGAAAAGGATGAGACTCTTCTTCTTTTTAGTGTGTTTTGTCAGGATTTTTTAGAAGGGAAGATTTTTTAGGGGATATTATCGATGTGGAGGTGTGGGGGGTATACATTCAATGGGAGGAATATTTAAAGGATAATTTTGATATTATTTAGGAGGAAAAGAAATTTTAAAAATTTTAAAATTTATAAACGAAGAGCCCAAAAAATGAAAAATTTAAAATAATTTATAAAATGTTAATAGCATTACTCTATGAAATACATATGATATATCCGGGTGTATATATTAAAGGGTAAATTACATTTACCTCCCCTGAGGTTTCTGACAAATACAGGGACCTCCCCTGTGGTTTGAATAATTACAGTAACCTCCCCTGCTTTACCTGACAATATCAAGATCCCCCCTGTTGTCAAAAATCACTAAACGGTGTTAGTTTTTCCTTAGGAAATTACCTTATTGCCCTTCCCTTGAAAATATTAAAAACTGTTTTTGGATTGGAGGATAGGTTTGGAGTGTTTGGAACAGTATTTTTGGATTTATTTTTTTAAAATATTAAAAAACGTTTTAAAAAAAATTATTTTTTATTTTAAATATATAATTTTTATTTAAATATTTTATTTTATTTTGTAAATATTTTAATATTTTAGTTTTAATATTTTAAACTCAAAACACAATTTCACACTCAAATCGTAACCAAACACATAACTCATTAACTGGGTTTTTTTTTTTTTTTTTTTTTTTATGTAAAATGGTGATCGGGGTCGATCCCGGAGATAAATAAAATAGGGTGTGTTGTGCAAATGTGTAATTTTTTTTTTATTTTTTTTTTTATTTTTTTTGTTTAAATAAAATAAAAGAAAGGAAAAGAAGGGGGACAAAGCAAGTTGTGTGCCGTGTTGTTTTTGTTTCAAAAGAGGAAGTAAAATAATAAATAAAAAAAAATTTGAGTGGAAAGAATGAAAAAGAAAAAAGATGGTGGAATGGTTCAGATATGTCTTGGCCAAAAGTCTTTTGAAGGAAAATAATAAAAAAAGAAAAAGAAAGTTGAGAGAGAGAGTGGGGGGAAGCCATCTCAGGGTACATCTGGGTATCACCACATGTACAAGGAGTACCGTGATACCACACTGAATAGTGCTGCTTGGCGTCACCTTCTTAAGCTCCCTCAGAAAATACCAGAACTTGGACTCTCTATTCCGTGAGTGACCCATCCCTTCCGCTTTGTGGTCTTAAGACGATGGCACAATGTGAGGAAATCAATGGCCGAAGAAGACGACGAAGCTTCTGTTCCATCCAAATGCGAGGCCATCTTGGGCCCCGACCCAGATTCGGAACTTTGGTTCTGGGCACGAACCGAAACGAGCCTCGGACTCGGAGGGTCGTTGTTGAAGAAAGCAAGGTTCAACGAGGTTCGATGAAAACAGGGAGAGATAGAGCGGTTGAGTGGGAGAGAACAGTGAGGGGACGATGAGAGAGAAGAGGGACTAGCTGCCATTGTTGAGAGGAGAGAGATTGAAAACAGTTTTGCTTTTGAAAAAACAGAGAGTAGCGGTGCTGGTTTGCTTTTTTTTTTTTTTTTTTTTTTTTTTTTTTTTTTTTTATTTTTTTTGGGGGGGGGGGGGGGGGGGTTGGGTTTGATTTGATTTGATTGGGTTTTTTTTAGTTGGGTTTTTGATTGGTTTTAATGGGTTTTCACTGATGATGTACCTTTTGTTCATTTTTGTTTTCAGGACCATAAGTGTGTTTTAAGTTGAATATATTGGATACATGATTTAGATTCACCATCATTTTGTTGTCATGATTATTGTGTTGTGTCTTTTGGGGGTTAGTGTACTTTTACTCTCATGAATAAACTGGCAATTAAGGTAGCGTTTGGTTAGGTTGATGAATATTGAATTGTAATATTGTTGAGAATTGAGAAATCTTTTATTTTTATGTATTTTCTTGTTTTGTTCCTCTCTTCAAACTCAAGTTGGTTAGTTTCTATCCTCCTTGAGTTTGCGGGGGGCTGTTAGAATTTACCTACACCTACCACCACCTACTACCACACCTACTACACCTACCACCAATTTACCCTCACCTACTCCTCACCTACTACCCAAATCCTCTTCTATATATAGGAATCATGAATCATTGTATCAAATACAACAATCAATATCAATCAATAATACTTGAATTTTTTACACACATCATATTCTCTCTTTTCAAGGCAAATGATAGATGTGATGTATGTAATGCAGAAATTTTAAAACCAAGCTTTGTGTGAGAAAATTTGATTATGCATAAAACAATTCAAGTCATAATAGCAAACACTTTGTACCTGCTCTTGTTAGTCTCCATCTTCAATTTGCATCAAATCACATGTATGTTAAATAGATCTTTGTTGCAAGACTCTAGGGCATTGTGGTGACCACTTCAAAGAGATTTCATTTTCTGCAGTAATCTGTTATGTCCATACGAGCAATGAACAAATAAGTTCTTTGTGATAAAAGGTTTAAGAGATGATATTTTTAAATGGGTGCAAATAAAAAAACTGATTCTTCAATGTATATTATTGAAAATGACACAAGATATTCACTTGCATTCATGAAGCCACAGTGCGCTGTTCAAACTTTGAAGTTGCAACACCAACAAACTTGTGCTCAAGTGGTTTGATAGATGAGGTTTGAGTGAGAGGTCTCTTTCTAGGACATGTGTGCTGGCTTTCCTGTACTAAAGAAGAAAATTTTCAGAAAATGGGTGCTCAAAATTCAAAGGAATTGAAACAAACTAAAGGGGGAATAGGTTGAATTGCTGTTGCAAAAGGAAGGTAACTGCATGCTGGAAATAGAAGTGATTGAATGCTGGTGATAGCTGTGGGCACAGTTGGCAGCATTGTGAGTATTAAAAAAACAAGAAAAAATAACTAGATAAGTAAGAAACACTAACCAGCAAAGGAATGTGTTCACTGTCCTTAGAATAAAATGCGCCACTCTAAGTACGTGACTAGAGCAGAAGGTTAGCAACATACGAGACCAATAGAAATTGATTTCCAAAAAAAGCAACCCCCTTTTTTAACTTCTCCACAAAAAAAATAAAAATAATAAAAAAATAAATAGAGAGAGAGAGAGAGCCTTATCTCTTTTTCCAAAAAGAAACTGATAATTATATTTATTTCAATCAAATCGTTACTTTTCATTCAAAGCCTACTAAGAGTATATAACTGTTGGAAGTTCAAAAGCAATCCTTCAAAACCTTCTAACATGTACTTCACAATCTTAGGAATCAATAACCACTAAAGACAAAAACAGTCAGAAATGAAGTAATCTGAATAATTCTCTCCAGGATCTCGCTCAAGCAGGTTTCAGTCAGAGGGCCTGCTTGAGCGCTTTTCAAGAAGGCTTCGAACATAGCTTTCTAGTTGTCCAACTAGGGGCTGCTCAAGCATCTTCTGAGTGGGCTTTAAGCGGGGGTGATAAGGTTGTCTCTCAGCCTCGTATATAAACATGCTATGGCATAATAAAATAGTGTAAAACATGCTCTTTGAATACAGATTTTGTGACTCCAGTCCACTAAAAGTTATAAAACCAAATTTTTTATTTTGAAATACCATTAAATATCAACATTGTGGCTCGTCTATGGTAGCTGATAAAACTGAGGATGCTGAAGATGCTGAAAATGAGGATAACGCTGTGGAGGTTTCAGTAGTCAGGCATTAGAATTCAAATCAAATTTAAAAGGAATTCAAAGTTTTGCTTTTATAGAACTACAAAACGTACACCATGCTTGTAAATTCACAATTGATATCAATATGTACACCATTCAGCTATAGGCAAATGCAGAATAGATGTATTGATGTTGAAAACAATACTACCAATTGCAACTGTGAGGGTTAAAGCTGAATCAAGTCAAATAGAGCTCATCGTATAGAAAAACAGGATAGAAAAATTAAACCTGGAAAGTGAAATTACACATATCAAGCTGTATGTGGTTTTAAATGTTTCAAAGGTCTCTCCAAGGCATACAATAAACATATACTCTCAAAAAGCTAAGGCAAGAAATGATATAGATGATATTATATGGTGCACACATAAATTGGGAAGTACGTTCCCACAACTCACAACAATAATGGACTGTAACAGGAGTGTCCGATGTTGAAGTCCATCTCCTCTCCTGCAGCAAAAGTAAGCTTCTACTACGCTGTCTGTGTATTCAGTAAATGCAAGAATAATTAAGCTTTATATAATTCAACAATAAGTATGAATTTCCTAATCCACTCCTGCTAAATAATACCAATAGCATACCACAGTCGTGGAAGACATTACAGCTATCTGTATCAATAACATGACTTGTCAATAGGTAGAGGCCTGCTTAATTGTCCAACCACTATTGGAACCGCCACTAGCTTGGCGGCAGAACTTTTGGGCGCCTAGAGACAGTCTTACACTAGCTTCAAACCTGCACATCGACAAACTAGAATTCTAAACAGATGCCAAAATCATCATTGACATTATATTTGGGGAACCAACGTGGCCCTCGAGCAGAACAAAGGCCTCACATTGTTTTCCTCTATTCCAGCTTGTATTTCTTTTCAATTACTTGATGATGCTATGGGAAGTAAGTACCCGAGACTTGTAAACTCTTATCTTCAATTAACGCACGTTCCAGTTTTATCAGCAAAAACAAAACCAAAAAAACAAAACAAAACAAAACAAAACAAAACAAAACATGCCAGTTGAATCATATTAGAATAATAAATTAAACATTTTCATCCTTGTCAATTCATTTTGTTAGTAAATCAATCAAGGAAAGGAGTTAAAACAGCAATACACATTTATGCAACATACTAGACATAATTCATTCATGTCCTCAGTAAAATCATAATAGCACTAGAAATGTCTGTTAGCAATCATTTGAGGAAGAATACACATCTATTCATTCTTCCAAGCATACAAAATCAATGAGAAACCAAGACCTGATAATTTAGACTCCCTAAGACTCCGCGAGCAAGGCCAAGGTGGTGGTGGTATACAGGGATCAGAAAATGCTTGGCTTGCCCACAATTTCTCAGCAGACAAACAAGTTTGGAACATGAAAACCGCATTCCCAAAAGCCGTACCAAACAACCAGTCATGGACATCCCAGAACAGTTCAACCGGGAGACCATCAACCCAAATGGTCTGATTTCCACGAAACTTCCACCGGAGGTGCTTCACCTGCATCACCATCTTACTGTCCACTCGAATCACGAGACATGGATCACTAACACCGACAGTATCACACTCAATTGTGAGGCCATGAACATGACCATTATCACAGAATTGAGCCTTAGTGCCATAAACCCTTTTACCAAAAATGTGTTCCCTCTTTGAAATGAACATTGCATTGGAGAGGGAAGGGTTTGCATTAGTCTTTTTGAATGCTTCTTTCCTCAGATCCCCAATTAGAAGAACCAACTCTCCCTTACAAACTACAGCAAAGTAATACCCCTCCAAGGGCTCCGGCCCGGATCCGAAATGGGCAGAAGAAAGGTCCCAATACATGTCAATTTTGCAAGAATTTACTTCCAAACACTTAGACCCTTTTCTCTTTGAGAACAAAGAAGGTTTTACATCAACTTTACAGAGACATTGGTTCAACAAATCATCAATTTCAACACTCAGACATTGACCCATCAAGTTCTTGCTCCATATTATGGTGACCAAGCAAGACTGGCCAAGCAATTTACACTTGTACACGCATGTAACTACATTTTGAGAAGCTTTGTTCACACTAGAACACGAAACATCGGCTACTTGAACCCCATTTTCACCAAAACAAGAAGGGAAGTCCTTCATTTTGCAAGAGAAAAAGAGGGGGGAAAAGTGAACCCAAAATTTGCTCAATCTTTCCTTACTTATTAGACAAAAATTGGGGCTTTGGGTCTCTTTTTGTGAAGATTGATGCAATGGGTAAGAAATGAGCAAGGAAAGAGAGAGTACAAGTTCGTCATACCAGAATTGGATCAGTTGGAGATGAAATCAAGAGCCCATTTACAAAACTTGGTTTGAAATCTGCTTGGGGCTGCTGGAAGCCTGGTATTGTGATGGGGTGTGATGGTTTTGGTTGATTTGGCCATGGTTTTAATCTCTGAGGAATGGAATGGACTGTTTAAAAAAGGACAGGACAAGTGACACAGCAAAATTAGGGGCACTTTGCGGAAGAAGCGAAGAGAGAAGGATCAGAGAGAGGGAGAGAGGACAAACAAACGGAGTAACACTCACACCTCTTACAATTCCTTTCCAGGCGTCTTTTGTTTTCTTTAATCACAAAAAATATTCCCAGTTATTAATTATTAATATTTTATTTATTCTTTTTTTTTGTTGGGGGCACAGGCATTAGCAATGTCTTATATTAAAGATTGATTTGAGATGATCTAAATAAGTATATTTTTTGGTTTTTTATAAAATATAGATTAGATATGAGTTGGGTTTGAAGTGATATAGTAGAAAGGTGATATTTTTATGAAATATGAATTGGATATGAGTTGAGTTTGAAGTGATGTAATAAAAAAGTGATTTAATTTAAATAAGATGATGTAACTTAAATAGGATAGTAATTTTTTAATTTTTTTAAGTTATGACAAAAAAGGTCTAACTTTATAGATTGTCCACAAAAAAAAATTATTTACCGCGCGAATCGAATCTAAACCTTGAGGGCAAAGATTTCAATCCTTACCCACTCAACCAACGTCCGTTGGTATTTTTTTGATTTATTCTATTATATCATTTTAATCCTTTAAAAAAAAAAAGAATAACTTACCAATTAGATTGACAAAAAATAAAAAATTACTCAAACTTGCACCCTTATAATTTTTTACTTGCACCTCATCACACAATCACTTGCACCTCTAATATTGTTGTAATTTTTTTTTATGTCCCACTGTCTAGTAATTCTACGTTCAAAAACAGATATTAACCTTTATTTATATTTGAATGGATAAAAAATAAAATAAAAATTACTATTCAACGGTGATATCTAAAACTTATTAAAGATTCATAAAAAAAAATTATAATTATAATTATTAATATTTATAATGCTTAGCATTTATTTGCAATAATTTTTTCAAATATGGACTGACTTGAAATTCTCCCTAAAAAATAGGGTCCCTAGTCTTAAGATTGTATAGTATAAAGGATATCTAATATTTTCATAATATCTAAAGTCCCTCAAGAGAAATTTTCTCCAGAGAAATTCTAGCAGGATCAATTATTTTAGGCTTGATTTAGCAACATACAAACGAGTGATGCCATAAAAGCAATACAATTCTAAAATCTCCAATACAAGACTGCCTGCTAATATCTTCTGAATTACATCATCACTTAACCTAACATATCCAATTGACAATTTCTTTAGTGATTTCCAGTCAACAACTCGTTTAGACAGGACTGTTAATGTACACTAAACCTAACCCACTAACCTAACCCACTACATCCACCCCACTAAACCTAACACACTTACCATCTCCACTACCACCCACCACCTCCACTACCACCACTCACTAACCCAAACCCTCTCCTATATAATGCCACTCTGATTTGTAATACAATATATCAATACAACAATCTTGTGATCAATCAATCAATAATATACATCAGTTTATTTTACATCGGTCCGACATGACCCCATAAACTGTCTTCTACAACGGTCTGACACGACCACACAGTGTCTGCTTCAACGGTCCGACATGACCCCGTAAACTGTCTGCTACAACGGTCTGACACGACCATACCGTGTCTCCTATCCTGTTTTATTTTATTTATCAGTTTATTTTTTTCTGTTTTGTAACTCTCTCCAAACTCAAGTTGGTTTGTGTCTAACCTCCTTGAGTTTGAGGGGGGCTGTTAATGTACACTAAACCTAACCCACTAACCTAACCCACTACATCCACCCCACTAAACCTAACACACTTACCATCTCCACTACCACCCACCACCTCCACTACCATCCACTACCACCACTCACTAACCCAAACCCTCTCCTATATAATGCCACTCTGATTTGTAATACAATATATCAATACAACAATCTTGTGATCAATCAATCAATAATATACATCAGTTTATTTTACAAGGACAATGCACAAAGAAAAATATAATTTCTATAAAGGATGAATTGATAAACAAGAGTTGTGGCAACACGAAATGATTGCACATTCTGTAGTGGCGAATTTGAGTTGAAGCTCCTCAGTGGCGTTCCTTGTTGCAAAGCAAATCCACAAGTTGACATTAGAAGCAAAACACGAATCATATTTGAAATCAAGCCCGAATTTTTTAAGTTTAGAAGAGTTGCAGAGAAGTAGGGTTTTATAAACAAATGTGATAAATTCAAGAGTGAAAAATGAGTGATGGAATGGTAGTTCAAAGGTTTTGCCATCTTTTGGACAAGACATTGGTTTTGGCGACGTCTTCAATGGTGGATAAGAAGGAAAGAACAAGAGCCGTAGTTTCTTCGCTGGGAGAGTTGTGGTTTCATCTTCTTGCTATCCTTTTTCGCTCTACTTTACTTTACTGCTTAAACAACAACAACAAAACAAGGGTAATAGGGTTTATTTATTTTAGAGGAGAACATGAATAGCTTAACCAAGGGGTTGTTTAGTGCGAGAAAAGAGAGGAGAGAGAATGAGAGAGTGAGTGCTATATATGGGTGTGGGTGAAGGACCTTAGACTATAAATAAAGATTATTGTGAACTTCTCCCATTACTAAAAGTTGGAAATAGATATTAGACCAATTTTTTCTAAAAAATTAATAATTTAAAGATAAGGAAAAAATAATATTAATTAATTAGTGTAATTAATCTTCTTTTTATTTGTTTGTTTATCTTTACTTTTTGATTGCGACTGTTTTAGGAAAAAAGTACGGAATTGAATTATCAAACTTACCCAAAAGAAATTATACTATTTTTATAATTACAAGAAAGAGATAAGAGACCATTTTAAGCAGGAGTAGGGCTCCATTTAAATATATGAGATTGGAGAAGAGGAAGTCGGGGTAATGAGCAAAACATTGTTATTAATATTTGTCAATTATTTATTTATTTATTTATATTTTATGAAACATTATATGAAAAGTTAACCAATATGAGCTGTCTAATCAAAAGTCATTAGCCAATACAATAATGCTTGAGATTACTAAAAGTGGTGCTCTAAAAGCACCATTAGTGATGTAGCAGTAGATGGAGCCCACTGCTTGTGTTTTTTTTTTTTTTTATTTAAAGTACTTGCCAACTCATTAGTGGTGCTTTAGAGCACCACTTTTAGTGGGATGTATCATTACCCTTAGCCAATATCAGGTTGTGTTTGAGCCATCTCCGCCAAGAGTGGGATTGAGTAAGAAATTCGTATAATTTGTAATCTGATCTAGTCTAGTTTAATTTAGTAGGTTTGGATTGATTTTTTAAATTCGTGATTCGGTTTCGAATTAGAAATTTAAAAATCCGTAGGCTACGGATTGGTTCCGGATTAAATCTCACGGTTCCAGATTGAAACCGATCTGAACCGTATACAAAAATAGTCTATATTTAAAAATCTGCGCTTTTGTTTGTTGCTGCTGCTGTGCTGCTGCTTCTATGCTTTTGTTTGTTTGTTACTTCTGTTCATGGAGTTTTGTTACTTTTATTTGTCTAAAACTAGTTTTTTTTTCATTGCTTTTATTTGATGCTATGTTTAGTTTTAATACCGAGGAAAACTCTACTTTGTATAATGTGTATCCAATTTTATTGTTTTTGTTTGTTGCTTTTGTTTATTGCTTTTGTTTGATGTTATGTTTCTGTTTTTATGACATTAAAATGTTGTATATATTTTTTTTATTTAATTATGTGAATCTGTGATCATAAACAAATCCAATCCGTGTTTAAACGGATTGGTTCTAGGATTTAAACGAATTGGATTGGTTATAATTTTTCAAGAACCGTAGATAACGAATTAGTTCTAATTTTACCCTAATCCGGACTAATCCGGACCACGCTCACCTCTAGTCAAGAGTAATTTTAAGGTCACTGCTATGAGGAATCGTGGTTTTATGACCAGCTGAGTTAGAGACTGGGAGATGGGAAGTTTACTGGTTTATTCTAGTCGACTCTTGTCTTCATGTGACTCACCCAGTTTTGATCTTTAAGCCACTCCTGACATGGAGTGAATGAGACACTACCATAAGGATTGAGGCTTTGCGATAAGTTATGGAAGGGGCTGGAGGATGTGGTGTTTGATCTCATGGTGTGATCGGCTTTGACTATGACTGTTGTTGTTGTGGTTTTTGTTTTTGCTATATTCCCTAAGACTGTTAATTATGATATCTGATCGCACGAGTTTCATGTGACCTTATCGGGATCACTTATGAGGTATATATTTTCCTCCGTTATGGCTTTTGAGAGTGTCTATGAATGCCATGGCTGTGAAGTGCGAGATGCTTATCCGATTCCAAGTTTTATTCGTGATAGAGACTAGGAGCTTGTGGGGAGGTTAGTAGAGTTGATTAGTCTCAGTGGTTGTTTTAACTGGTTTATTTATGCGTTTGTTCATATATCAGGTTATATTTTGTATTTTATGTGATTTTGTGTTGTATAATTGCCCATATATCTTCCTTAAGTTTTCATCTATTATCTCTAATGGTAGAGATAACTTGGGGACAAAAAGGATATATGGACAAATTGAGATTTTATTTTTGGTTTCTTGTTGGTTCCCCTGCAATTACAGGATTGTTATAGTTATGTGTGATAGTCTCCCCCCTCTTTAGGGAGCGGTGTTAGATTTGGTATATTATTTGAGGAATATCCCTTGTAAATGTGTAAATTCTTTATTTTTAATTTATGACTTATCCATCTTCCCTTTAAAAAAAAAAAAAAAAAAAAAGGTCATTAGTCGGTATAGATTTTCATTTGAAAAGATAGATTAATCCTAAGACAAAATTGAAAGGAATATTGTTTTGAGCGTGTTTAGTTGATTTTATAAAGGTATTAATCACATCACGTGATTACTAATCCACCAAATTGTTGGTATTGATATACAAATCTGATCAAACTCCCTCAAATTATAGCATCAATGATGTACCAAAAAAAAATTAAGTTGGTGGGTGAGCCTAATTTGACTTTATTAGGCAAGAATATTCAATGTGTTTGGTTTTATTTTTTTAAATTTAATTTCTTGAAAATTTAATTTTTAATTTTTTGTATTTTTTATTTTTAGTGAATATTTTTAAAATTTTAAACATATATATTTTTTATTTTTTTAGATGTACCT